CCTGCTAAACAACAATGACAACTGCAACCAAAAAATACCCAGGGATAGTGGCAGGCTCCTGTAGTCCCAGCTACTGGGGAGGCTAGGGCAAGAGAATCGCTTAAGCCCAAGAGTTTGAGGTTGCTGTCAGCAGTGACACCACAGCCCTCTACTGAAAGCTACATAGTCAGAGTCTGTCTCCAAAAAAAAAATTTCACGTTCAGTACAAAAACTTTTATTTTTAAACAAGAAGATCTTGGTTTATCTGATTTAATCAAGTTAATACAGTGGCTCCTGGAATGAGGATTATAATACTCTAATTTTGATCTGTGTTTTTTCCAAACCATGAGTCATGATCCCTTGGTAGATTGTGAAACCAACTGAAGGGCTCTAAGCAGCATCAAAATCAAACTAAGAGTCGACTAAACCAAGTAGAAAACAGTATACATCTTATACAGTAAGTATTGTTTAGCATAGATAAGCTCATATGAATATATGTGTACTGGGTTGCTATGTAATATGTTTCACTTACTGTGGACTACAGTCAAAAAAGGTTTGAGAAATACTAATTTAGATTTAAACTCTATCAATACTGTCAACCATTTTAATAGTAATGGAGAGAAATCGGATAACCATCTTTAAACATCTAGTTTTAAGAATGACTTAAAAGAAGTATTAATTAAAGCTTTCCAAATGTTCCCCACCTTTGAAATCAGGCAGCGCCCGATCATCAACGAGCAGCATGGGTCTGACCTGCTTCTGTTCTACTAAACTTCTGGCTGCAGTCAGAGATGTGAATATTTCATCTTCAGAGATATCAAACTCCAGTTTTTTCAACCTTTCCAACAGGTCTTGCTTGCTCTCCTTAGTCGTGTTGGTCACAAACCTAACCATGACAGAAGTACTGCGCAACCTGGAAAGGTAAAATGCAGAGTCAGCATTTAGCTTTTACGCTGTAGCCCTGCAACACCTCCTAGCTTGGTAGAAATGCAGGATAAGTCACTAAGTGCTTTTATGGCCAGAAGGCTTTTTTTTTTTGAGACAGAGCCTCAAGCTGTCCCCC